TAACTGCCAGTCTCACAACAGGGCCTTCCAAGCTGTTGCCTTAACTCTTCAACTACTCGTGATGAACGATCGACAATAAAACAAACTGTAGTTTATGCACGATGGAGATCCTATTCATTTTACCTGCAATGTATAGTAACTTTTTGGATTCCCACTGACCAGGCTGACAAGACAAAACAGACTGGTTTGCTGCTGACTAAAAGACAGTTTGCTCAAGAAGTGTAAACACATAGGATGAGCTTTAGTGTTTGATTGAAAAAACACACCACATGCCTAATACTTTTTAGTGTATCGGGAATTCTTGGTGTCACAGGGCCCACTCATGCATTCAAACCAACAGAGAGCATTTTCAGCAACTATAGTAAACATTTTTTTTTCGTATCCAGTACACACCATTCAGCATGGTGTGCATTGGTGGTTAGCAGGATTCACGACCCATCAATACACGGGTTCAACCGGGACCGCGACATTTAACGCTCCTGCTGTGGCCCCCTTTTTGCGAAATGATGAAAGTGGAGCAATTGTTCGGATGCCACGGAGAAACCGGGAAAACTCCATGTTGCCTGGACCACGGCCTTGCCCAACACAAGTTGTAGATCTGAGCACCACCGGGAATCGAACCCGGGACCCCAGTATTACAAGCCCAGCATTCTAACCACCGTGGCAGTTATAGTAAACATTAAAACACTGTTATGCTGAAATATAACAAATAAATGCACTCATAAAATTCAGTGTTACTTGTCTCATTTGATTTCCTAATGCTTCCCTTTACCACTAACAAAGTGGCTGCAGCTATATGTTTATAAGAACACTGGGGCTTGACTTTAGCAGTAGAATATGATCCTTAAATTTAACACGTGCATGTGTATGTTTATAAGGAAGTAAATGGAGCATAACAAGTAATGTAGATTTTGAAACTTACATCATCCAGTAGCACAACTGCCCTGTCTCCGAGACCTGGGATGTTGAACAGTGCTGGATCTGGCACAGAGCGTGCCAGAGTAGTCTCATACAACACAAAACCATAGTGCTGACCGAGGTCCTCAAATGTAAGGGGGAATTTGCTTCTGAGTGGCTCTTTGCCCAATGCTTGCCTGATACTTTGGTCCAATAGTGAAGCAATGGGGTTTAATATTATTGTGTTGTAACTACCCTTAGGTGCAGGTATGGGTGCAGTATTATTTAGCAGTGGTAGATACTACAGCAAAAAAGCATAAAGCATTAGTATAATAAATGAATTAAATTGAAACGTAGTCGAATTTCATAACTCTATATGACATGATTCAAAGCTAAATAATCGTACCTGCTGATTCAATATAACTAAATGATCTACAAATCTATGATCTATAAATGAACTATCCTAATATACTGACAGAAATTTCCACTTTCAATTTCCATTTCCACATTGTACTGGGTAAGAACCATCTTCCCACTTCAAGTACCATGTTACTTACCCTACCAATGACCTCTCTTATGGCAAAGTATTTACTAGTAGGATCCCCTGCCTCTGTGATAGGGGCATCATAGTCATAAGAAGTAAGCTGGGGTTGGTAGTTGTCTCCAAAATTGGCACCTGTAACAATTGGCACGTGGTTCTAAATTCATTACTATTTAGGTAATAGTACTTCTCTGTTTCATAACAATTTATATTGTCAATATTGGTCTTCTGGGCTGTAATACCATGAAGACAGGAGCAATATATTCCTCCAGAACGTTATCATCTACCTACAAGTCCATGCAACATAACCCAGAAGGCCAACATCAATAATGCAGTAAAAAGCTCAAAACTAAACTACAATAAAATGTAGTATGTCCCATATCTAATTTCACAACTCATTCACTTCATCGAACAAGGTCCTTGAGAAGACTCATCTGATAAAGAAATTCCCTGCCTCTTATGTAACCTAATGGTGCATTACCATGTTCATAACAGACCACCAATGGACTGAGCCATCTGAATCCAGTCCACACCCTCATGATCTCTTTCAACATTGGCTTCTCATCTATTTTTGGATCTCCAAATTGGCCTCTTTACCTCAATGTCCTGCTTACAGTTTTTCACGAATTTTTCATCTTTCACATGCACGCTAATGTCCCATCTGTCTCACCCTCCTTGATTTTTTCACCCCAGTAATAATTTTAGTAAAGAATACAGATTATGAAGCTCCTCATCAATTTTAAATTGGACATGGTAGTCCACAAATAAAATAAATACTGAGAAAACAGCTGGACATGAAAGGGTAATAAAATTCAATACATGAGAGGAGCAAAGACAATTTACGTGAAGCCAACTCTGAGTTACAGGACTCCTACATCTGTCCTGAGGATATTACCTGCCAAGAATCCAAAGTTGGTGCCTCCGTGAAACATGAAGAAATTAACAGAAGCATTGCGAGCCAGTATCTCGTCTAGAGTATTCACTATTGTCTCAGTGCCGACACTCTGGAATGGCTCTCCCCAATGGGTCAGCCAGCCTGTATAGAACTCTGAGTTTACAAGCGGACCATGGGGTTCATATATCCGCTGGGCTAAAAATGCTGTATCCACATTTGTATCTATAAGAAAACAATGTAAAAATGCCAGTACCAGAAATCATCTTCAATTATGTAGTACTGTTAGAAATTGAGAGAAGGTTTTCATTCAGCCAAGCAAGTGAAGATCAAGTCAACCATTTGAGGATATTCCAGAAACTTTAAGGTTAAATTTCATGCTACAGTTGCCGGTACTAATCCTTCGGATTTGGAAGGTACGTTACTTTCGACAGCTGTGAGACATCACCATCTAACTGTTGAAATAGTTTCACATATTGGACAACGCAACCCACGTCAAGAGGATGAGTTTTAAAAACAAGCACATGAAAAAATGTTGATGAAATGGAGTATAAAAGAACATGAAAACAGCTGATTACCTGCTCCAAAGTCTACTGTTGCATAAACACCTTCAATTTTCCCACATCTAAGAAATGACAATCCCGCTCCATCTGTAGAGTATAACACAGCAGCATCACCCACTTTACTTTTAACAATATCCCGCAGTTGAGTCATGTAGCTTGAGTCACATGCCTGGTAACTGCCATATTCATTTTCAATCTGGTAAAAGCATTCAGAAAAAAAAATGTTTACTTTGCTGTTGGTACCGGTCACCACAAACAATTAATAAAGTAACTTTAAACAGTTTGCTGCTATACTGAACAAATTTTTAAAAAGCTGTATTTAATTTAATAAAACATTTCACAATGTGTTATTTATACATTTTCATTACTCAAGTCTGTAAGATATTCGTTTCAGATATGTAGCCGCACAGATGTTTAATGGGACGGCATAACTAATGATTCTTCGGATATGTTTTTACATTGCACTTGTCGCCATTGTACCGAGCGCCGTCCGCTGGAAGAGCGATTGTGAGCAGTATACCTTCAGAAGGAATGGGAGTATAAAATAAGATTTAATTGTCTACATAGGAGATCATTTTCATGCCATACCGGCGGTGACCAATCGCTGCTACTGCCATACTGAACCGTCGGATCACCGAAGACTCATCTTTTGTAGTTCTAAGTTTAAATTATGTTGGTACTCCTGTACTGTGCCATTATCTTCTAATTTCTCTACATTCCATCTTTTAGTTCTTTCCATCTTCCCTTTCATAACCATGGATATTTTTGGCTTCATTCTAATCCCAATTAAATAATGGTCCGAATCAGAATTTTCCCCTCGGAATGTGAGCACATTTTCCACATCTGTCATAAATTAATCTACCCTGTGTTTTGTTACATACACTTTTCTTTCCTACTTTAAGCACTGTCTGAAGTTACACATTTGGTTTCTACTACCAGCAATGAAGGACAGAGTTTGCATTGTCTTTGCTTAGACAAAGTAATTCTCTAATGGAATACAATAGGAATAATGTTTTTTTAATAGCAAGAAGTAGGAAATCAGATAACTGGGGTAAATTTTGCAACTAGGACGATTCGACTGGCTGGATGAAGGAGCATTGATGTCGAGTATAATTCACGTAAATCAGAAAATGAAGGAAAATGAGAGACAATCAAATCAGTTCTTCCATTACCTGCACCATGATGATTGGTCCACCATTTCCATACAAGTAGACTTGTACACTGGTCAACACATAATTCAGGTACCTCTCTACATACTCCATGTAGGCTGTGGAATAAAAAAAAGTCATGGCAATGCTAACTGTACCTTCTTACTGATGAGTAAACCCTTGATAAAACAGTTTAAATCTTTTCCTGTAAATTATGACATGTTTAACCTAACCAGCTTAGTTAGCTTAAGATAACTGAAGCTACTGTAATTAGCACTGTTTTTTCTGAATAAAACATTTCATAACAGATAAACAATTTAATTGGGGGGGGGGGGGAAGAAACAGTGCTGAATCAACTTGGGGAACCTTCTATACTAAACTCCAACAGTTTTACCATGGTTACATATTATTAACCTTTATTGATTGTTCACAGTAGCTTATACACAGTCCAGCCGGCCACGCATCACTCTGTATTTCATTTCAATTTCAAAATTGGCAGACTTTGTCTGCCATGAACCAAAACATGATTTTCCAAATGATGGACAAATCTAAACAGGCAGTTTCCCTTCAAGATAAATGTATTTGAACATATGAAAAAGCAACACTAAACTTTGTTTAATTTTAACATCGTATGGGTCATCTGACTGTGACCGACACTGGAATATGTTATTCTGAATGTAGCTCTGAGCCTGACAGAGTTAGAATATACACAAAAAATATTTATGAGAATTTTTAAAACTATAATTTTCACAAATTCTAATTATATTTCTTTTCTGTAAGGAATGACTATGACGAGTTTCTCTTTTGACATTTTACATCAATTTAAAATATGAGCCGGGATAGCTCAGTCAGTATAGTGACTAGCTACAGGCTGGACGACCGGGGTTCAATCCCCGACGGGGGCCGAGAATTTTTACTCTAGCTTCTGCATCCAGACCAGTTCTGGGGCCCACCCAGCCGCCTCTACAATGGGTACCGGGGTCCTTTCCCGGGGGTAAAGCCGGCCGGGGCGTGATGCTGACCACTCACCCCCATCTAGTGCCAAGGTCAGGAATGAGTAGGAGCTATACCTCCACTCCCCCCCAGCGCCTGTATGGCATGTAGCGGGACAAACTTTACTTTACTTTACATCAATTTAAAACACTACTAAAAAACTGCATACTTACTTGTATCATTGGTGCGAAGATAAATGTCTGGTTTTACTGTTAGCAGCCAGGGTGGAAGGCCTCCCTGTAAAGGGAGGGGGGGGGGTGAGAAAGAGAAAGAAAGAAACACCACTTTAGGATAAAAATACTCAAGCAAGAATGCACATGTCTTAAATTTGTATGAGCTTTATGATAAAATGTAGACACTTATGACAATATACTATTCTCTTGGTATGAAGTTTCAAGTTCCATTAGTATACCAAAGTCTTAATGCTTGTATCATAAGCACATTCCATTTTTTCATTAGAATAGCCATCTGTCCCTCTATAGTCATTAAGTGAAAGTCAATATTTCCATTCCCATGGACCTATAATGACAGTTCATACCACGCTGTTTTTAGAACCTATAATGGTAGCAATTCATACCATATCCCTCTCAGCACATATGTAAGGACCAGGTCGAAGGAGGACTAGAAGGTCCTCTTCTTGTGCCAAACGAATGAAGTACTGGAGATCAAGCTCTCCAGAGAATTCAAAGCGGCCTGGTGAAGGTTCATGTTGGCTCCACTCTACATACCTATCCATAAATAATACATGATGTACAAGATAAATGTTCGGTGCCTTCAAATTTTTTGTTATACAATCCCAGACAACCTATTAAATTCTTGTGCTGATCTTCCTTTAAGAACTTGGTATGGAAATACAGTGCTACTTAAATGAATACTGTGAATTAAGCAACAAAGAGCTAGATGCTGGGTTGACTGTATACAACCCTTGTAAAAACATTTTAATGGAGTACAGTCACATTCAGAAATGGAGGTATGGAACATTTCAGCTTACGTGGAAACAGCATTAAGTCCTGCAGCTCTCAGTTTGCGCAAGCGATCTCGCCAGTAAGCTCGAGGAACCCGAAAATAATGCAGTGATCCAGACACATACCGGAATGGACTTCCATTCAGAAGGAACTGGTCATTTTCATAATCAATACTGAAGAAGCGTGGTAATTCAACTGTAGTTGGTTCATACTGCAACTGAGAGGGATACAAGTTAGAACTGAATAAGACAGCTGTAAATAGTTGATTTACATTTTCTGGGTTGCCTCAACCAAATATTCCTTCATTAGCAGATACTTAATGCATTCTCATGTTGTGGTAGGGACGACAGACGTCGCACCGTTCCGTGTCAATTTGTCGGCGTCGTGTTATGACATCCTGAGGCTGGTCCTCGCTTTATTCGGAGTCTTGTGCCGGCGTCGAGAAGCGTGGCATTGGTCTGTCACGGTCATCTCGAATGGCACCTTCCCTTTATTCGGAACCTAGTGTCGTCCTCGGTTGCGTTAGTTTTGTGTTGGTTTTGTTAGGTTAGGCTTGGTTACTGACAGACCCACATGAAATGTAGTCTAGCCTTTCACCAGGGCCGTCTGTACTCGAGGCAGAGCAGACGTGGACGGCGTCCCTCTGCACTTCCTCTAAAGATACTAATAAAAAATATGTGTGGTAGCCTAAGGTCAAGGGTGGTTGTGAACCTTCCATATCAAATATAATGTACACGTTCGAAATATTATGAAATACCAAAGTTAGCATACAAAAGTAACTATTTTCTCGAGTACGTATTAAAATTTTCCGAATTATAGAATTTGTGCGCTTGTTTGTTGTGGGTTGTTTACTGTTTAATTTTGCGTTTTAAATTTTTAAAATTATTAACGAGGACGGCCTCATATCATTCATGCAAATTTATTTCAATCTGGAACTGCGTGCCAGGCTGCCACGGCACTTTATGTTTTGAAACATCTGCATTTCACAGAACGCGGAACCGATTGATGGTCTCAGATTTCAGTGTTATTTCGCATTCTCATAAGTAAAATGATGAACTGCGTCATCACATTAACCTTGTACACAAGGACGAATATCTGATGTGTAGCAATACACATATGATAAAGTCAGTTACCAAAGACGTACAAAGAAGCGATTAAAACTGCAGTCAGCCTTCATATGCCGATACGGTTTAAACTAGGGATACACAGCTCAGTGACAGTAGAAAGAAAGACCTGCCACTTACCCAGATTTAAGCACGTATTTAAAAGTCCTGCCTGCATCCATAACAAATAGCAAGCCTATTTCTGGGTGCAGAAAATACGTCTTCATGAGGTGTAATTTCAATAAAATTGTATTAAGTCTAGTTAAAAAAATTAGGTTCCTTTTAAGGGATTTTTTTCCACCCCAAATATTTTTTTAGTGGTACTGCCTCCAAACTGCAGTACGCAATATCGATTGCAAAAACTTAAGTTTACAGTAATACTAACTACTGTGCTCTCATGCAAAAAGAAGTTGAATACACTGTGTGTACGCATACGTGTTTATGTAACTGTACATTTATGCATTTGTACGCGTGTTTGGTTATTCGTGGCAATATATTAAAATTATAAATTTATCTGGAAAAAAATAATATGCAGGTAGACTTATGTACAAGTACAACAACTATGACATACATCGAGGCAGCAACATCTTAACAAAGAAACATCAGCACAGATGACAAAAAATTGTTGAACAAGATCTCATTACTATTAATGTAAAGAGACCGTCACTAAACAAAACTTTCAGTCTACAAGGGTTAACACGATTTGCGAACCATCGTTAACTTTGTACACATATATTTTCATTTAAACTGTGGTGCACTAGTTGATAAACAATGGTTCAATAGCAAACGCGGCGGGGGTGGATGAAGTGGGCAACGGTACAGGGCTCATTACATCCTACCTGTACTTGCATGCATCAGAACAGCCTTTTATCCTCATACTGTAGCTGTTGTTTGCCTTATACAGGTACTTTTATCTGAAGCCGACAACAATGAAGAAGGATTTGAGGAAGTTTTTTTATAAAAGCCTGTGGAGAGTAAACAATTTTTAAACGCCTGCCATTAAATGCTATTGTTTATGGAAGACTTACTGTGTACTGTTCAGTCACATTATCACTATTAAAATATGTCGTTAATGCATGAATCGGGTGAATCAGTTCTTGAGAGGCAGTTTTTAATCCGTTAAAAAGATAATAATTGAAACCACTTAATTCCCGCCTCCGCCTTAAAGGTTTATTTCCAGCATGCAATTTTACCACTCTTCCTGTCGCATCGGCAAATTAGTGTCATAAAATACACAAAATCAGACTTGTCCATTTGAACTGTAAAGGCAGTGACATGATTTTACCTAACGCTAAATTGCTGAACTTACTGCAACGTGTACGAAAGAGAACAGGAGCAGCGTCCACCTGCAGACGGTCTGTCTTCCACCCATCTTGCTGCAGTCCAAACCGCTACCTACTGCTAGACCAAGATGTCCTGCTCAGCATCGCATTCCAAGCTCATCAGCGTAACCTCAGCGAACTGACCATTGCCCCCAACTAGCAAGGACAAGTTAGTTGTATTAGTTGCTAACAGAGGGCAATGGGGGTGCGAGCGAAATCCCTAGCGGAAAAGTCTCGCGAGATGTTGGGGTTATTATGAATTAAAATGTTATCAAGGTTATACAACTTGATATATGAGTCGGCAACTTTTGTTACCGCGGGCCGCATTGGCTATTCACATATCTTTGACGAGTCGCAAAAAAATTGTCGTGGAAAGTACGCGCATAGATGGTATTCATGGATAATGCTTGTATTTCTCCACAAAAAGGTGTTTTCTCCCATCTCTCAAGGGTTTCTAATGCACTATTTTTTTAAAAGAAAATAATATACTCGAGAAAGAAGGTTCAAATGTTATGCAAACTTATAAAAAAGAGCATTAGACTTCCAAATAATTTCCTAAAAGTCAATATTTCTGTAAAAATATTAAAGTGCATTAAATCATATTAAATACGTAATTCTCTAAACAATGAAATATTTCAATACAAATGGTTGAATACCTCACTCAAAACAATATTAACCTGGGTATGAAAATCATGTACATTGGATATCAATATGTATAATATATTTTGATGAAGACTCAAATATGTCATGATGTTTATGGAAATGTGAATTCAAGTAGTCATATGCCTATATAACAGTCTTCCACATATTAGGTCCAGTGGCCTGTTAGTCTCATGCCAGCATTTGTTGAGTCTCCCCAAAGATCTTTGTTCATTCAGTTCTTATAATGGAAGATTTTGAATGTTCTTGAGTGGATATTCAAACAACCTGATTTAGCCAGTTGCCTGTATACTGACATCATAATACACTCTTTTTTACATGGGTTATTCTGTTAGTCTCACATCTGTCACTAGAAACTCCTTAAGGGTAGAATCTAGATTTAGAGTGTTAGGGAAAAGTGTGCTGAAGAGAATATTTGGACACATGAAGGAGCAAGTAACAGGAGGCCAGACAAAACTGCATAATGAGCTTCATAATTTTTATTATTCACCAAATATTATTAGGATGATTAAACCAAAGGGGATGACAGCATATAAATGTATGGAAGAGACAAATGTATAGTTTTAATCAAAGAAAATTAAACAAAGAGACAACATGGATGATGTACAAATTGAAAGAATAATATTAAACTGGTTCATTGCAACACAAGGAATAAAGCTATGGACTGGATTCATAAGGCTTTGGATAAGGACAAGTGGAAGGTTCATATGAATATAGTAATGAACCTTCAGTTCCATAAAAGGACCAATTTCTTGACAAACTGAGTGACCACCAGTTTCTCAGAAGGGTCACTACTCCATGGGGTCAGTTCCCTTATCCTTCACCATTTCTATGATTTTATCCTTATTAAGTCAAGAAGTATCAAAGTAAGTTTTCCTATATCATGAAAAATTGGATTATTCATTCTTCTTTTATTTAATGACAGTCTTCAATTGCCTGAGTTTTTCAGCATTAAACCAATTATTGGAAATGTTCAAAACTTCAAATGCATCAAGTAACAACTACTTTTAAATTCTCCTACTATCCAATAGACTTCTCACATATGGAATAAAGAATATTGTTTTAATGCTAAATAAATAATGTCCAACATGTCATGTAAGTTCTTTGAAGTGTTATCAAATGTTAATACTGAAAAAAAGAAGAAAAGAACAGCCATGTTCCTTCTTCTACATACAATTTCAAAGCCTAAACACAGAGACATGCACTGGTAAACTATTAGTCTTCCACAACATGAAACTCACAATTACTATGCTTGCTAAAAACACTGATACCAGTCTTGTGGTGTTTCCATGCTGTCCAACTTTTTGGTCAACAGTAGTGCCAGCAACTCTCAACTAAAATAAAACAAAATACATAACCTCATAAATAAAACCATGCAGATTTGCTGCACTGTTTGACTGCTGAAAATAAGGAAAAGTAACAAAGTACAGAATCAATGAATCAGTCAGTGAATATATAGGACAGGTCACCTTCAAGCGTTCCATCTCTTTGCAAGCACACTCAGCCTGCGATGCCGCCATAGCAGCACAGGCCAGTAATGCCATACTACAGGACCACTTCTTATCCAGGAACCCAACTACCACTGGAGACCTTCTTCCATGAGTGCGCTGCTGGCTTCTTACATACTTCACCACTCCATACAATAGTTCCAAATGCTGGCTGCTGTTTGCCACTATTGTCAGGCCATCCTTCCAGCTGAAGCAACAAATTCAGCTGCTACACATGAACATTTACATTTACAGTGCTATGGAAGAGCAACATCCTCTTAACTATTCTAACTCTATGGAGAAGGCTCTTTCTTGAGAAGCTGATAGTCATTCAGTTACCCAAAATATTCCCTGCCTTTCATAGAACCTGAAGGTTCATTATCATCTTCTCAACAGATCTTCACTAAACTCTATTCTGAGTTACATGATTCACATTATTTCTTTAAGATCTATCTTAATATTATTCTCCCATCTACATGTCTCCTTCCACATTTTCTGACTATACTGGAGAGAACTATATAAGCGTGATTCTGCGGTAGAATATGTTTGGTGAAATTATCACTGCTGTTATTTTTATTATTGAACAATAATTTATGTAGAAAACACTTACTTCACACCTCATGTGTCTAAATATTTTCTGAGCACTCTGTTTTCAAACACTTCAAACTTACATTCTTCCCTCGCAGAAAAAAAATCATGTTTCACATCTCCACAGAGCAACTAGCAAATTACATAACCTAATTAATTTTCAATAAACATAAGGAATATGTATATTTTGAATAACACTGCTTTGTATTTCCTAAAAGATATGGCGAGCTACCTTAAAGGCCCAAGTCTTGTTACATCTTGCTTTTGTTTAGTGCCTCCTGACCGCAAGTTACATACGACTTTCATTATTGCTTCTCTCTTTGCACGGTCCTTAATACCAATCTCAATTAGATCATACTCTGACAATAATACAAATGTCTCCAAGCCAATATTTTCTTGTTTAAAACGTTGTATCTCCTCTTCGTCTAAGTTCAAGCCAGACAACAGCGTCACCAAGGATGTTCTGTAATGAAATAATACGTTATATTTTTCCTATCATTCTTTAATCTCAATTATTTAAATCTTGTATAGGATATTTATCTGAATTATGAACTAATTTATTTTAATATTCTTCTCCAAGTATGTTTCAGTTACTATGACCTATTGCCATTCATATGAATGAATATTACATAAACATTTATTCACATTACCTTTCAATATTTCTTCCAATAATTTATCATATTTTTATCACAATCTTTCTTCCATGATTTTTTTAACAAGAGAGAGAGAGAGAAGAGTAAATAAATACCAACTGTCAATTCTGCTATGTTGTTAATACAAATCCATTATTGGAACGCTATTCATATTACAGAGTCAGAAATTATTTGTCCTTGTAATCATTAAGTATTCAAAGTTCAAAAGAAAGCTCTAGATCTTAATGTGACTGTCACATACAAATTCTTTGTATGATCAACTTTTTTTGAGAAAATCAATATTTATTTTGAACCTCCACAAGCATTTGATTGATGCAAACCAAAATGAAACTTTCCAAATAAAAAATGCAAGCAAGCCATTTTCCATTAAATATTTTTCCATTAACAGTTTCTATTTAGTAGAGGTAATTCTACATTACTTCACACCCTGCAACATGAAATTGGAGAAATGTTCCAATAAAAGCAAGTTTTTGTTTAATACAAAACACAATAATACAGTACAGAAACTGTACTGTACTGTACTAGAAGTATTTTAAACTTGGGGTTGGTGATTTTTAAACAACCATAAATATATGAACTATCTCATATACTTATTAAAGTTAAAGTAAAAGGTATTATAAATACAATAAACAGACCTTTCACTTTCCTGCTCCATTGTCTTGTAGGATACTTCCAACACACACAAAACCTGTAAAGCACCCTTCTAGAACAAATGGAATATATTTATGAACTACAGAACCAACTCTGCAACAGTGTCATTTGCTAAATAACTGCAAATCCAATGTAGATATGAAGAGAGAAGTTACATTTCATGTAGACACACATTACACAAATTCTGCATATAAAAAAGTCCCATTAATACCAGCCAACAAAATATGTGCATATATGTATATGCAGGTATTCCAGAAGGAAATGGCTACAATATAAGAGGTTGTTATTTTGAGCAAGAAATACTTCAATATGTATACCATTTATGATGGACATGGAATTACAGCTATTTAAAGTTAAGTTAACATGAGTAATGGGGAGAAATGTTTACTGTACAACTACTGTAATACCTTACTGTGCTGTAAAACCACTGCAAGTTACATCAAAGTATCAAAGCATAAGATTTTCATACTTCATACTAACTCCATATAACATTACTATTTACGTGCAACGAATTTTTCTGACTTTGAACATCCATAACTCTGGAACCATCATAAAGGACACAAATTTTACTAATATATATTACCCCCTCCCAAACTTTGTTCACTTCTCCTGACACGGACTGTACACATAAGAATGAACTTTGCATTTAGATTTTCTTATCATATTGTACTGAAACCCAAATGCATTACAAATATAAGTAAATATACTGTATCTTCTTACATTTATGAAGAAGATTAACAACCTTAACCTAAACTGAATAATGCCAAAATTACGGACTGTACAAAATACGCATGCTTCCTTTGGATGATTACAAGATATGCATGCCATTTACACTACCTCCACAAGTTGTTCGCTAAAATGTAATATATGACTGGAAAATCTGACGTTCGAGCAGTGACTTTGTTTTCAGCACGAAAAGTAAAGTACCTCGTAAGTTTTCTGTGATGGGATCACGAATCAAGAACTAAGCAACTATAAATTTCTTATTGATCACTGTGATCCTTTGCTATATGCGAAGCTACTTACTTCTGCTAATAGCCCACACAGACTACGAAAGATAGCATTTCAAGACTGTGCCCAGTTAAGTCAAGATTGAAGATGACAACATTTTATGAAGAGTACAGGAGCCACACTGAAAACCGAAGATAAATGTCTTCTAGGATGTTGCGACATGTAGATTACCCCTGAAATGTTGATAAACGTGTTGGATTTATCTGTGCTTCTACGAGGCTACACGGCGCTAAAACGCAAAAGGCTCTTATTTTTCATACTCGCCTCAATGACAACCAGAAATCTAAAAATTATTAATAAGCGGAGGTCCTGGCTAGTTAACAAAATTATCATTGAAAGGTAACAGTCTAATCGATCCTGGGTAGTGGTCCGGTGACGATATAGCCTAAGGCAAGAGTGTAAGTCCACACCTAAGATATGCAATACGCCCTTAAAGAAAATATATATTAATTTCCAATCTTGGTGGCAATCATTTGTTTCTCTACCAGTCATGATTCATTATCACTTCTTTCAACATAAAACTATGTGCCACACCATCCTGGTCCTTTTAATTATTGTCCTTGAAGCCAATCATAAGGAAACACAAAAGTAGACATCACTTGTGTATTATTAATTGATGCTATCACATTTTCAAATATAGGCCAGGCCTGGAAAATCTACAAATTATAAAACTATCTGTTAATTCAAAGGTATTTCTCTGTCTTTAAGTGATTACCACAGCAAAGTAGTAAGCATCTCAGAGCAACTCTTACAAATATAGAAAACTATAATATGACCAGTTGTTTTGGAAGGGTGTGAAACTTCAGCTCTAACCCTTGGTGAAGAAAACATTATGGCTGTCTAAGTACAAAGTGCTGAGGAAGGAGAATATTTAAACCTACACAAGAGAATGGAGAAAACCACAGCTTAAAAATTTGCACTTCCAATATAAGGGGTGATTCAATAAAGGAGGATGAGATGGGGTGGGACATATAATACAGGTGGGAGAGATGAGAAAAGCATAACATTTTAGCTGAAGAAGAACTAGGTACAAAGGCAAAATGTTGATATTCTTATTCCAAGATGCTTCAATCTTATTTTAAAATGGATCTAATGGAAATTGGTTTCAGGGTGTGGAATAGATTAAACTGATTCAAGATATGGTACAGAGATAGACTCTTGTAAACATGATGGATTCCGATTGCGGTCTTCTGGGTTGTGACACCATGTGGTCTTGTATGTGGTTACTGATTCAGGGGAACATTCTGCCTCTATATTCAGGGTATAATATGGTACAAACATTTGGCAACCACACACCAAGACAACACAATATCACAATCCAGAAGACAAAATTCACATTTTCATTACAGTGAAAATCTCAATCCTCATATAAAGTAAGTATATTTGTACATTCTTTACATTCAATGCATAAAATTAGAAATACATCACTACTAAAAAAAAGTTAATATACCTGTATCATCATCAACATTAATCTAAAGGATATTTGACCTAATAATGTTCTACCAAAATGTTGGTAACCATGTACAAATTGCACAGAATCATAAACCAGAATACCTCAGTTGCATAAAAGTTAACAGATGTAATCAAAGCAAGATGCAAAACAGAAAAGCACATATGAAAATGGCAATGAACTTTTCATTATGCATGGCAAAGAATACTTAAGGTTACAACCATCTTTACATTATTCTGGATTCTCTTAACATACAAAGGTCTCACTGGTGGATCTCTGTAACTTCATACAGAAATTCACCTGTTCTATGTAGAACATAGTCCTGAGGAATGTAAAAATCATGCCTGTCATCTTTCTTCATCGTGATATCTGATAGGGAAGTTATTTTATCACTCTTGTACCTTTGCAGATGAGTTACAGCTATTGTAATTAATCCGCAGGCAACACTCCAAATGAACAAAATTATTATAAGTAACTTCGGCTTTATGGGATAGGCCGCATCAAATACTGATAATTATCCATCATTTTGGCAAACATTGCAAATGCCACCTTCAGTGTGAATGCTTAGAGGCTGGGCATTTATGAAAGGAAGGAAGTTACATACTGAAATCAGGCATGAAAACAAAAGGACAAAAATTACTATAAATATGGCTGTCTTCTGGGATGTTGTGCCATGTGGTCTGGTAGGTACTGACCAATGTTTAGATCTGCTTACCACCTCTATCATTAGGATGCATGGAAAATGGAGGCTGTATGTTCCTTTTAAATGTCAGTCAATATCAACCACACTACATCTTCATACTCAATGTTGCAAGTACCTGAAATCTCACAAAATTATTATAAAATGCATCTGACCATACACAATTCTGGTGTGACTGTGTTTATCATTTGCTAATGATTGGGCTAATCGGTAATTACTACTCTTCATAATGTATCATAACATTATAAAAGCATAAGATATTTTCCCTTCCTTTCTCCAGAATATGAAAGAATAGATTCATCTGTTTACCCAGCAGGCCATCAGTTGAGATGATACTGGATTATGTAACAGGAATCTGATGGGTAGGAAGGAACATACATTTATATTACCAAAACATAAAAAAGCCTCTGCATAATAAATGCTGAGAAAAATAATAAAATTATTCACCTGAAGAATATTCAATTCCTCACATTCAAAAAAATATTATAATAATATTTACTAAACATGAACAGAGAGAGAGTGAGAGAATTTCTTAGTTTAAAAACATCACTCAAATTCAACTAACTGCATATACAAGGATAATACTACAATAATAAATAAACAGCAGTGTGCTGTAACACTGATTCTGTGCATAGCACTATCTCAGTTTAACTATTATTTATGACATTATATAACACTTTATTTTTGTTCATGAATATGGGTAATTAATATTAAACCTTTGCAGCACTCTAAATTACAAATGGACCACAAAGGATTAAGAAGTGCATTGTAAAAACACATTTCTAAAAATCAGCTGGAGAAGAAAAAGCTGCACATAAACAGTTTAAGAAATTCTCTCAGTAAATAAATACAGTCTCATATATTTTGGTTCAAGAAGGCAGATGTGAACTGTTAACTACAGCACAGCAGTGCTCTACTGCAACAGAAACCTCATCAGAGAGCAGTTGGCTAGATCAGCAGCTGGCTGTCATAAACATTTTTACTAATATTTTTGGATACTCAATATGATTTCAACTCCTACATTAAATAGTTGTAGAAACTTCAGAGATGACAAATATTTTCAAAATACTGTCACATAATACCAAACATTCATACTGATCCTAACATGTTAAGTGTTTCAAACTGCTGCTTCAATTGCCTGCCAGGGGCTCGTCTTCTTCATCATCACTAACATATTTCCTGACAGATCTTTTGCGGCGACCACTGCCTCGAGATTCTACCTTGCGCCCTTTCAGTTTGATTTTCATCTTAACAGAAGAATCTACATCAGATGTAATGTCTTCTTCTGCACCATCACCTACAGAAAAGCAGTCCCCAAATTACAGACACATACTGTTATTATAATAGTGAATTTCTCAAAATCCATCAGTTTTATACAAATATTTTATGAGACATCACACATGTACTTTAAGGATCCTTTATGTTACATTCAAGACATTTTTTTGTCATTAATATAAGGCAAGAAACATAAGAAAATGTGATTAGACCCTTAAATAGTAGTATAATTAACTCCTGTAAGACTATAGGATAAAATATGTGGTAGAGTCAAAGAGTTTGTGAATCTGTGTCTGAGTGAGCTTTTGTGTCATCATGGCAGTCTTTACTGTATGCCACTTTCAAAAGGGTTCCCTTCTGCTGTCATGCAGTTCTATCTTAAGCCTCAACACTGCTGGAAGCACTCCTGCAGGCCTTTCCCCATGATATCATGTGCTACCTTTACAGTTTTCACCTCCTCTTCTAACAGGACCTACATTCCTTCAAGAGGGCTCTCACTGTTAGGTAGAGAAGCTATATCTGGGGAGCAAGAAGGATTTGGAAGCATAATGATGCAATTCTTGGTCCGATAATCTTGTACCAAGAGACCAATGAGCTGGTGCATTGACATGGTGAAGTAGCCAGATTGCAGATTTCCAAACCTAATGGCACTTAGGACAAACAGCTTCTCACAGACAGTGAAGAATGTCTCTTTGTACACAGCTCTGACATTGTGCTTTCCATGAAGGAACTTGTGGTAAATGAGCCCTAGTTATGAAAAAACATCTACAGCATCAACTTCCTCTTTGAGTGGCATGTACCAAACATCCGCTTCCTGGGTGGGGAGGATGATAAGGTTTTACATTAGGATTAGGACTGGGAAGGTAGCACAATGCATCATTGTGATAATCCCACTCTCCATACACAGTTCCTGTGAACTACAAACTGTTCCCAAGAAGAAAAACCCTCTAAAAAGACCTTTGGTTCCAGTCAGTAGAATAGGTGAAACAGGTATGACAGTGACACTTGGAGTGCTTCATGCATTGATACGGCTGCTGGCTGCAACATGCAACAGTGGAAAGGAACATGGTATGCAGAGAGAGAATAATTTACATATTTTTTATTCTCCTGGATACATTACTCAATTTATGTGTTTGCAATACTCACCACGTGACTTATCGTCATCATCTGATTCTCCTTCTTGCTCAAGACGCTGTCTAGCATTGGTAAATACTGACTGGAGAACAATGGAATCCTCATGTATCAGAGATGCTTCTTCATTGTATGTCTGTGCATTCTTACATAATTGCATGAAGTCACGCTCCAGATCATCAAAATCACTGAACTGAAAACATTTGAACTTCATAACTTTCAAATGATCCGAATTCTCATACACCTATTCTGTAGCTGTTACTCAGTGCAGTGTTCACATATGCTATGCTTACTATTATTTGCTCATAGATATTTAATGATATAGTAATGTCAATATCTTTGGGTAATTTCTCAAGTATCTGAGCATACTATCAGCTTCTCAAGAATGACTGTTCCATGAAGTTATCATTTATATTCATATTTATCAACAGAAAATTCTGCTGATTTAATTCAAAGCTCAATGTGTATGGTACAATAATCTATAACAAGAAAGAAATGCAGAATGCTGAGCATGCTTAAAAGAATAACACAATATCCTGAAACAAGAAAACCAGATAATACAATAACACATACATGTAAGAAAATGCTTAAAATTTAATTCCTTCAGACAAACATTATTCATCGACTACCTTATAAAAATGCACTATAATAATGAAATGTCACCCTCAGTGGACTAGTGGTTAGCATGCTCACCACTGGAAAAAAAGTTTCGTGGGTTCAAACCCAGCTGAGGTTGATGGATTTTTAAGGGTGATAAATATCCGTAGCTCAACTTCCTTCGGAGGGGAAGTAAAACTGGCGGTCCCATGTCATAGATTTACAGCATGTAAAAGAACCTTACAAGCAAGAAGAAGATGATCTGTAAGTAAAATTCAGCGATCATTTCTCACCCAAGTCTCCAGATTGACTGCTAAATGACTCAGGCCGTCAAAATTGGGATTGAGTAGAAATTGTGCAGAGTCAGTGGGCTGGTCACTTACTACACACAAATGCACACTTCTAAGACTGAGAAACCTCCGTAGAGGTGGCCAAGACCCACACCGAGTTGTAGAGCCACTGATGATGATGATGATAATAATGACATAAAGTAAATAAAAAAGCAAAATTTGTTAGTGATTATGTAGGATTTCAGGTTCTCACCACTGTGAACACGAAGATGGTTGTCTTCTATGTTATAGTGTCATGTAGTCTGGCAGAACTTTACCTAGACTACACATCACCAACCCAGAAGATTATGCTGTGGTAAAACAGGAGGAAAGTAGAGCCAGAACCAGAAATTTAAAAAGCACTATTACAGTTGCATGTACGAAACACTGTACACAGGAAATAACGGCATTATATTTTAATGGGCTCTTTTCCTGTAAAACTGTTTGTGACTAACCAACTACGGATTTTTTACTAAGCCATATGTATTATGGAGTTGGTGATAAAGAATACCCTTTTATTGGTAGTCTTCATTGGTATACGTCTTTTCTTTTGTATAGTATATGTACCTTTCCCTCGTCAATTCGTTGCAGGATCTTCTTAATATCAAGAGGTTTCTTGATGATTTCATAGTAGTCTGGTAGTTCACGACGGGAAGGGAGTTTCATGAATGGCTCACTCAGCACTCGCCCATCACTATGAACAAGAAGTCATGCGAATAAGTCTTGGGATTCATATAAGTACAATGTGGTGAATATGCTGAACAGCAGATGACAAACAAAAATAAAATACTGAGGACATTCTGCATGACCAGTTTCATGAAACAAAAGTGGAAAACTGAGTAAATATGTAGTATAGTATTTGTTACCAAAAACAATATCTGATCAGACATTTCACAGATTTTTCCTTGCATATGTAAAAAGTAAAAAAAAATTTTCTTCATGAGAACCGAGGAAACTATACCACTGCTATGACATTACACTGATGTGTTCTTCCATCACAGATACAATGCAGGTGATTTATATTGCAATGGGAGGATCATACAGCATGCATGGAACATGAAAAATACATACAAAATTTTGTTTAGGAAATCTGAAAGCAAGAGACCACTTGGAAGATCTAGGCACAGACAGGAGGATAATACTACAATGGATCATAGAGAAACAGAGTGTGAGGGTGTGAAATTAATTCATCTGCTTTAAAACAAGATCCAGCAGTCAATTACAGAGAATGAAACAACAAACTTTTAAGTTCCTTAAAAGGCAGGGGAGTCCTTGACTGAGTGACTATTAATTTCTCAAACTACAATACTCAGCTCAATGTAGTTAGTTAGCTCTCTCTACAAAACTCTTTATAAACTAGTGATCACTTCTGCATAGTTTCATTATCTGTAACGATCTATATGTTGAGTCAGTAGCTACCTGTCAGTATATTTGATGACAATGTTCATCAACTTTCTCATCTTTCGTTTCAGTCTTGGGTCAACTGATGTGGTCACATTAGTTGCAGCAGCTGCAGTATTTCTGCGCTTCTTGATTTGTGTTGATTCTTCTTCTTCATCGTCTTCACCCTTTTTGCGCCGCTTTCGTGTTTTCTTGCGTAGCTTTTTCTCTTCTTCTTCCTCCTCTTCCTCATAGTCCTCCCCAGCTTCATCTATTGCCTAGAACAGAGAATCAGAGTCAATTACTTACTGGAAACAACAAACAACAGGCAACTTAGACTATTCATTAACTACTGAACAATAATGTTCAACTGTGTATCCAGTCTCAATATGTAAGATATGGATATAATATTACACAACAAATACATTTTTCTTAACTAATTTCTGAAACAAATGTGACCATTCTTTCCAGGAACAGAAAATGTTAATACACATGGTAAAGGAAAGTTAAACTGTGAGGAAAGTTGGTCAGTATTGCTTAGTACAATAATACTGTGTTTACAATGAACAGGGTTTGAAAAATATGGCCACTTCTTCACCTGTGGCGAGGAAATTTTGTAAGCACGAGAGGAGACATTCACAAGAGTAATTTATATTGAATATATAAACACAACTTTTCTTTGTCAGATGCCAGGCTGTCTGTGAGAAACCAAATACATCTGATAACAAAAAGTATAAATGCATACTTCACTGTAAATATTGATCATTTAGTTTCTGGTTTATAAGGTTCAATGGAAGCTATAAGTCCCACCAACTTTTCAGTTTCATGGGAGGAGACGAAGAAAAAACTATGTAAATCCGGAGCACTACAGTGCTATTATCTATCCTTTGCATTAGTTCCATTTCAGTAAATTTAAATCATTAGTGCAAATAATAGCATTAGTTACTTTGGTATGACAAAAGTAAATTTTAACTTAACAAGTGAGACTAGGTTAGTATTACAACAAAAGACTTGTTAATGTGAAAAACAAATGCTTCTGTTGAACATTTGCCAAAAACTGATACCATCTGATCCCTCAAAGAGTGAAGTACATGATGAAATCTAAATAAAGCTATGAAGTCAAATCCTTCCTGAGAGGCCAACAGTTGCTCAGCTAGATAGATTCCTTAGATCTATGCAATTTTCTCAATCATCCTATTACATCCTCCTGCTCAGTTCCAAATATTCTTATCAGCACTTTTTTTCCCCAAACACCCCAATCTCTGTTCTTCCCTTAGAATATTTAGATAATTAATACCTATTGCAGAGCAAATTAAATGTTTCTATAACCAGCTAAAATGTCACGAGGCAGAATCATAACTGGAAATGGGAGTAGCTTGCATGTGCTTAAACCAATGCTGTGGAAAATGAATTAGTTAAGTACATAGCATTTCTGTTCTAGTCATATACAGAACTTGATTTCTGAACTAACCTTAAGCCATTCCTTTTCTGTTAGGCTGTCACTGTAGTCCACTTCCTTCCTCTGCCTGGATCCTCGCCCAAGGTAGTTTTCCTCCTCCTCTTCAAACGTCCATCGCTCAACCTTATAAAAACATCTCAAAATATGTCAAAACTCATTCAAGTTGGAACTCTCAGTTATTCTGATGTAAATTTGTGGTAGTAATGGCCTCACAGAAGCTTTAACTGCCTGAATTACTTTGTTTATTTATAGCTAGACACACTATATTTATTCTAAAAACTCAATCCAAAAATAGGCATGAGACCTACACACGTCTCATGTCTAAATATGGTATATATAACTAAAAACTACCTTTACTCTGGGATAAGCCAGTTGCCAGATCAGACAGACATAGTACTCAGCCAGCATTATTAAAATGGCTTAAGACACAATGAGACTACTTACTTCCTCATCATCTTTAACAAGCCAATCGGGCAATTCTCCTTCTTCTATCAGTCGTGATTTACGATTTGGGCCAAGCTTTGCCTCTTCACGTCGACGTTCCAGATCCATACGTGAAAAGAGTTCTAACTCACACTCATTACGAGCAATCATGCGGTTTACTGTGTCATCTTCGGGTACTTCATTCTCCTCCTATAACAAATATAGGCAAGCAAAAATTAAATGCATCTGTCTTATAGCATGATCAAATAACTGTTTCAGCACAAACTGACATGACAATTTCCAAATGGATGACTGCCATTTACTTTGGGGTATGTACAGGCAATATCAGTTGATGTTATCTGTTTAAATTTTACTCTACTGCTGTTGTAAATAATATCAACACAATTGTTGTGTGACCTTTTAAAGTGAGACTGACACCAACACCACTTAATGTATGGCTCTGAAATTTTTTTGTGGTAACAGACCTTCAAAAAATATTTAACTTCTGTTCAGGCAATTCTTTGTAGAATGTAAAACAATAACATGCATTTAGCTTTCAGTCTGGCAGCAATAACTAGTGAACCACTGGAACTAGGAAAGGGAAATTTGCTAAAGAGATAGACCACATATGAAACATCATTTATATGCCAACAATTACAAACACAGAATGTTGCAAAAAATCTTGAGGTACTTGTAGAAATTACACACAGAAGTAGGTCACTAAATTGTGAAGAACAACTTTGAACATTTTGCATACTCTGCAGAGTATACCTTTAAAATCTAGTTATTTTATTTTATGTATAAAACAAATTAGTAAGTGTACTCGTGAAGTAAGCCAGAGGGTTACCTCCTCTTCTGCATCATCCTGATGTAAAATACTTTGAAGAAACTGCTGTCTTTCTGAGCCTGTGGACTTCTGGTCAAACATGCCTGCTTGGATAACCTTCTCATCCATGTTAAGTTTATAGCGGGCGGCAGCTAGGATCCTCTCCTCTACGGAGTTGACTGTCATCAGTCGGAGCACACGAACCTCATTCTGTTGTCCTATACGATGGGCTCGGTCCTGTGCTTGTAGGTCCTGAGACAAGAGAAATGTAATGCTCTCAATATATGTGTACAAAGGAATGAAGAACAACAAATTTCATCCCTTAAATAATTTAAGTATTATTCACAGTATCAACTCATTCAAAAATTCTGAGACTTCTGACCCACAAACCAGTAAGCCACAGAGTTTCACCAATGACCAGTATACTAAGTGTCTTACAATGAACACTGCAAGTTACAGAATACAAATAAAATTTTACCAAGAAAATCCAAATATGTTTATTTACAATACAAAACTTACTATGTAGTAATATAATAGCTGAAGACATCATAAATTAACTCCAATGAACATCTGCAATTAGAAATTATGCATAAAGGCATATAAAATGATGTCAGACAAATCCATTTTCCAAGGATCCAGGGTTTGTGATGCAACTGGCAGTGGGACTGATACACACATTGTATCCACAAACTAATACATGCCTGGTGAGGATTCCAGTCTGAGTCAAATATGATGACAGTGTCAGCTGCCTGCAGGTTCAAGCCAAGTCCTCCAGCTCGTGTACTCAGAAGGAACAAGAAGTATTCCGAATCAGGACTGTTAAACTTGCGGAGGAGGTCACCACGATCCTCAGCCTTTGTTGTGCCATCCAGCCTCAGGTATGAAAATCCACGCCACCCTAAGTAGTCTTCCATGATGGTCATAAGCTGCGTCATCTGGCAGAAGAGGAGCACTCTGTGGCTGGTAGCCTTCAGCTTCGGTAGTATCCGATCCAACAGCTCAAATTTCCCAGATGCTCGATATAGATCAGGCCTAAATAGACAAAAGCTTCTTGCAAATGCATATTTTTGGTATAAGTTAAAACAGGAATTCCTGTGCTCTCAAACTACTTTCCTCAACCTCTGTAAAAGTATGAAGTGAGTTATAGCCTTTCTTCTTAATCCTGAGCAGGCATGTCAAACTCACTGTCAACCAAGGGCCACTTAAACAGAAATGGCTGATTTAATGGCCATGACTTGGGAGGGGGGAATCACAACTGCCTACTTTTATTATTTCCAAGCTTAAAAGAGGGTCACACATGCTCTGCAGGCCAAGAGTTTAACATGCCTACTGCAGAGCATGAAATGAAGAAATCAAATTTGATATATGAATGAATAAAAAGAAATTACACATAATAAAACTTTTTTTAAAATTATATTTATAACCCAAATTTTGGGTGGCAGTAGTAGAAAAATGTTTCCTCTCAAAGCACGACATTTGGGACAGTCAACATTTTGTAACACACTATATTTCATGATGAGGGGTTATTAAGATGTCTGTCCTACTTCAATCTGGAAAGCCACCCATGTCAGCTATCCATAACTGCTTATTAAATATGTTTACAACTACCCTTCACATCTAGGACCATCTTCTCTCAAGTGCAAACTGAGGGTATACCATGTAGTGGTGACAAGGGACCCTATTAACACTGCTTTATAAGTTGTGTAAAGAAATAAACTCACCCTGATACTACTCCTGTCTGGGAACCCACATGATCACAGTACTTTTCCTCAATATTCTGGAACATGAAGGGATGATTGCAGAGTTTTCGTAATTGCACAATGGTGTTCATTAATGCTTTAGCTCCACCCTTGCCTTGTTTCCCTTTTTCTGAACCATCTGTTAACAACACACCTTTACTCTGCATATGTCTGAAAACCAACATACAACATTCATCTTACAAATTAAGCATATGAGTTATTACATCATATCTAATTTTGGGAGGGGGCTTACAAGATGAATCTAGGCTATGATGTGATAGAAATGTTGGTAGGATGGACATGACAAGGATCTGGCAGGGAAACTTATGTTGGTAGGATGGACATGACAAGGATTGCGTGCAGAATCTGGCAGGGTAACTTCTTGGAGAACAGCCGCCTTGGGAGTCTAAAGAGGTGATGAGAGGGCAGCATTCAGATGGACCTAGAGGAGATAGAGTATGAGGGGAAGAAGATACAGTTGGCTCAGTATCATGGACAATGATTGGCTTTGGTATTAAAGGCATTAAATCTTTGCATTCTGTGACCACAGAATTAGATGACCTTCACATGACCCTGTCAGATGCAGGACTGGCACATTCTACTTTTTAACATGAGTGCCTTCAACAGGATAGCTGTACAGTGATGTTTAACTCAATTAATTCTGTGTCATGGACCTCTTAAATGATGTACTGGATTCAAAACTCAGTTTATCCAACTTTCTTAAAAAATCTGTTTTAGTGGATGACATAATAATTTAATTTTACATTACTCACCTATACAGAACCCTCTGAAGGCCTGACATGTCACACTTTACAATGTACTCAACCTTATCAGGCAACTGAGATTCCACCTCCTTCTTCAATCGTCGCAAAAGAAATGGCCTCAATACCTTATGAAGACGACGGATAATCAAAATAGTTTCCTCCTCATTCAGTTCAACCTGGAATATATAATAATTTACAAATAATCAAGAAGAAAGTAATTCTTGAATTTAAGCAGAAACAAATAAATGTGAGCTAAAGAACAGACAAAACTACATATAAAATCTATATAATGGTAACTGTAGTAAAAACGTCAAATTCAGGTAAACCAGAGAAAAATACTAGACGATACAATAATTAAGCAAATAAGTAAATCTGTTGTTAATCACCGTGTACTGTAGAAGGATTCATCGAGGTCTTCACCTACCATAGTCTGCACCTATTCTCAGAGACATAAATTAATTCATTTCTTTTGTATTGAGAGAAGACCAGTCTGCAGCACTCTAGCATGAGGCCTCTGTGGGCTGATAATAAAAAAGGGCTAAAAGAGGTCCTAACCATTTCCTGCCCAATCCTGACCCATGGAAACAATTACTACAAGCTTTGCATGAACAGGAAAGCAGCACACCATTACAGAAGGAACCAAACGAAGAAAATACAGTAGTAAACAGATTATGAAGGTTGTGGATGTAAACTTGCATGTTTCAATTCTGAAACCACTAAACAGATTTACATGAAATTTGGAGAGCTCTACACCAAAAGTTGTCAGGCAAATTTAATTTTGGTTTATACTGAACCAATATAGACTTCATCAATTAAAAAAATGATTCGTTAAACAAAAGCGCAACACATGATACAAAATATACAGTGCAAGAATAGGTTTATACGTGCAATACTGAAACAAGGAGATATTTAAAACTGGTAAAAACCACATTTTCAAAATACGCAAGTACACTCTTCCTTGTGTAAAACAACATGTAAAATTATAGATCTGTACATATAAAATTGTTATGGAAAAGATTTCAGAATATTTCATAACTACATTTTTATAAGAATAATGTTAAGTTATTCTCAGGAAAGTCTGTTTGCATACCTTTTCTCCAGTTGTTGCAAATGGAGCATTAAACCACTGCTCAAACGTGCTGCACGACTTGAAAATTGATGGAAGAAGAAAATTCAGAAGTGCCCAGAGTTCAGGCAGCTTATTTTGTAGTGGAGTACCTGTCAGCAAGAGCCTATGTGTGGCTAGGTAGTGTGTGTTAAGGACCTGAGTTAGTTTGCAGTGGTGGTTCTTCATTCGGTGGCCTTCATCTATTATCATATACTTCCAGTGCAACTGAAACAATCACATCACATTAAGTAATTCAAAGCATCTACAGGCATCTGTTTCTTTATCTATCCAACCTTCATCCATGATACAAAGCCTTGATTCAAAGAACTGTGGTGTGCTTAATTTGCAGTAAGAACAATGAGCATGTGAATTATTAAGGGGAAAATAATCTGGTGAGTTTTTGGTAATGTATCTGTTCACAAAGTATCTTGTCTGTATGCACTGATGCATCGTTCTTCAATTTCCACATTTTACTGTACTCTGCTTTTACTTGGGAATGACAGTAATAAATAAAAATTAGAGTCATGAATATATTAAGAGCAGAATACACTTGAGAACTGAACTGTTACCATTCAGTTCAGAATCTTTCATCAGTCAACACACATGGCACAAATTTTGCTGTGCCCCCTCTCATGTTTAGTTCTTCTGTAAAAATGCATTGGCAGGTTCCACAGAAGAGTTTCAGCTCATCTACCAAGTCATGGATGCCTGTTTTGGTAAATTAACTCATTCATTTGAGCAACATTCTTTGTTGTGTCTCTTGATATATACCCTGAATGTTCTGCATCTTCAACAGGTGTGTACATTTTTTAATTTTGCAAGCCACTTTGTGTTTGCATTCTGCCCATTGCTTGCATTCCAAATGCTGTCTTCAGCATGCTATTTCTTTCAGAAGCTGATTATCCAAGTCCATAATAAAACTTAATGCAAAGTCATTGCCCTTTCAAATACACCATCCTAATAAAAGACTGAAACCAAAAACACCACTCAAGTCTCACTAGAAGGCAGATAAAATCATAGTGAAGCAAGCTAGATGAGGAGACTGGTGTCACACAGCTGACAAAGTATACCCCAATGCCATCTATAAGAAAAACTCCATACCATCATTCCTGATGTGATAAGAAAAGGAGACTAGAAACTTTGGGATAGTCCTTCATATGAGTGAAAATGTTAAGATTAAGAAAAACAAGATTATAATTTTACCTCTCGTTTTGCATGAGTGTGAACCTTGGTCTCTCACCCTAAGGAAAGAAACGGGTGCTGAGGATTCCTATTGGAAATCAATAATTCATAATCAAAAATTAAGAGAGTTGTTACTCTGTGAAAATATTACTTAAGGACTGCCCCAATTTGCTATCAAATATTAAGTGTTACAATGCCAGGATACTAACAGCATTATCTATTTTTTTTCATATCCAGGACACACCATTCAGCATGGTGTGCATTGGTGGTTAGCAGGATTCACGACCCATCAGTACATGGGTTTGACCGGGACCGCGACATTTAACGCTCCTGCTGTGACCCCCTTTTTGCGAGATGATGATGAAAGTGGAGTAATTGTTAGGATGCCACAGAGAAACCGGGAAAAACCCGGGGGAAAACTCTGTGATGCCTGGACCACGGCCTTGCCCAACACAAGTTGTAAATTTGAGCACCGCTGGGAATTGAACCCGAGACCCTAGTATTACAATCCCAGTGTTCTAACCGCTAGACCACTGTGGCGGTTATTATCTAATCATGTAGGGAGAAAGATGGAAAGGAAGAAAAAATAAAAGATTAGGACACTTACTGTGACATTACCTTTATCACATTGGAATAGGAGAATTTAAACCACCTTATTATAGGGCTACCAGATAGACTTACAGAGTTTAATGGTTTAGATGATAAAGGTTAAGTGACACAGCACAGAACTAATGTGGGGTAACATTAATCGCAAATTCAATGTTCTGGCTACTGACTTCATCTGTTAATTTACTTTACACAATGTTATGCAAATGAATGAAAAATCAATGAATACCCTGATAAATAAACACACTAAAATGTAACGCCTAACAGAAGCGAGGATAGGACCGAATGGAGGGAGGAGAATTGAGGAGGCCATGGACCGAATACGGACTGGAGAGCCATAGAAGAAGAAGAAAAAGTAACGAGTATTTGATTACCTTGGCAAGCATGCCCTTATCCTTGATCACATATTCATAGGTTGTGAGGAGGACATTAAATTTTGTGGAGCGCATCTGACTCTGTATCTGCCGCCGCATGGCAGGTGACCCTTTATATGCAACTACCACCACTGAAGGCGCCCACTTATCAAACTCCAGAACCCAGTTAGACAGAGTGCTGCAAAAAAAAACATCTTTCTATAAATGAAGAACATAGCAAAACCCAAATGTCCAACTTCATTATTGCCAAAGCCTGTCACTGCATATAATCCTGAGCTAGTTCTACCCACCTATCCTCTCAACTTACTTCCTTAATATTACCCTCTTGTTTCCTTCTAGTCTTCCAAGTCATTTTCCCAGCAAAATTCTACACAAACTCCTTGTTTCCCCCATCCCAGCCACCATAAATTACACTACACTAACAACACAGGTAACCTACATACATATATCATGAAGTTTCTCACTGTGTAACACACCAACCTGCTCATTTACTTCATCATCCTTTATTTTTCATGCTGAAGCAACAACTTCAGTTTGTACAAAAGAGATAATATCTGTACAAAAAAAATGAGTAATTTTATTTTAATTTCTTCATGTAAGATCAAAATCTACCACCTAAAGCTAACAATAGGACCATGGATGCCTGATTCAAAATATAGCTGTGTATTAGCTGAGTACTTAATTTGTGACCTACTTGTTCCAAGGTTGCCTGCATTGTCACACGTTGAAAACTACTGGATGTTACCAATAATATATTGGTAACACCAGACAGACCAAAGTTCATGCTTTTCTTTCACTACAGAGTACATACGAAAGAGGCACAATGATGAGGAATGGTCCATTCACTTTCTTTTTCTCCATCAGGTATGTGATGAGGGCAATGGTCTGGATTGTTTTGCCAAGGCCCATCTCATCTGCTAGGATTCCATTTAGGTTATTGTTGAACAGCGAGACAAGCCATTCTAGGCCCTGTAACAATTTTATGAAAAGACTAATAACAAATGTCACAGTTAATATTCCTACCTCATATTTGGAATGTCCTAGGTTCAAATCTTGGCAATGAGCTTGGCTACCCTAAGATTTTCATCCAGATTCAAATTGGGATACCATATTAAGGCAGGCCAAAACTGCTTCCATGTTTTCCAAATACTCATTCACAATAATCCTACCACTTAATGCTTCTGTTGTGATTAATGTACAGTGCTGTTACAAGTGCATACAGAATGCAACAGACTGCTAAGTTTTTTTTCCCACTTTCAAACTTCTTAACAGAAAAGACAAAATAAATGCTAAAGATTGCATCATGTTCATTAAAAGCTGAATCAACAACAGTTACCAAAAGAAAAGCAATTGTGACAACATACTTCATATCGGTATTGAAACTGAGAGCATAAGCTACAAAATTATCATTAAATAGCAGCAATATAAATTAAGAGAAGAATTATTAATCCACTAATTTCTATAGCCAAATCCCCTATATATTTTTTCAGGGGTTTCCTGAGTCTTCAGAATTCTGGAAATCACTCAGTAGGATTCTGAAAGTGCTTAATTTATTAGCTTGTGGCAGAAGTAAAAAAATGGGACATTTTGGTGATGAGGATGATGATTTCACAAGCACACATCCCTCTATGCTCTGGGTGAGATCTGAACCTGCAATACTGGCATTCACTAAGTCCAAGATTGCGCGAGTGTAGCACATATGAGAGAGATGAGAAACACATACAACAATTTGATCAGGAAGCCATATGGGAAACCTAAGTATGGAAAGGGTAATAACAAATTGGATCTTAAAGAAACAGGGTATAGATCGGATACTCCTGGTTCAGGACAGGGTTTGGTGCTCCCATAAGCACAGCAATAAACCTTTGGATTCCATTAAAGATGAGGAACTTCAACTGTAACAAAAGACCTGGCTCTTCCTACCTTTATTTGGTACTCCTTCAAATTTCCATTCACTAGGATGGTGGACTGCTCTGTCACAATCTCATGAATTGTATGTGCAATACTATAAGAAAATACAATGAGAAATTACAAGCATAAAGAAAAATTTGTCTAACTATGATATTATCAGTGTCCAATCAGTCTATGTAACTTTTTTGTTTGTGTGCTATGGTTGCTTGTTTCACACTTCACAAATGTCTTTGAGACTTGAACATATGAGACTCTTAAATCACTCTCCCTTCTTGCAATCAGTTAATATCTGAATCTAACCCTTATAATGCAAACATCAATTGTTTGTATACAACAACACATTGTTATTGTTGCAATGGAGTGAGACCTTGTCTCTGGAACTGGCCTGCTAATGAGCCCATTATTCATCCCTCAGATGATATATGATTGAATATGAAGCAGCAGCAGAATGATACTGACAGTAAAGCTGAAGGACTCAACAAAAACCTGTCCCAGTGCCACTTTATCCACCAAAAATCTCATATGGACTGCGATGGGTGCAAATGCAGGCCTCCACAGTGAGAATCCAACATCACAAACACACACATGGTTATTGCAGTTATTAGAAAATTGCAACAGTGATAAACAGTCACAGAGCATCTAGAATAAAAATAAAAATTCGTGATTTGTAGTCTATCAAAAAATGACATCATAAAACAATGTTACGTTATATTTGTTTACTCGGAATTGTTGTACCAACACAACAATGCTGAGTAAACAAATAACTTGAAAAATGACTTGAGTAAGACACTAAACTAATCCCCCCGAAGGGGGGGTTAATTTCGTGTCACTCAAGATTTTAAAATGAAACGAAACCCCCCGAAGGGGGGTTGGTCAAGTGTTTTAACCCCCATTCGGGGGGTTGGTTGCGTTTTAGAAACTTGACCAACCCCCCGAGGAGCTCCGAAAGGAGTGCTCTGCTCTAGTCTAAAATAAAAATGTTAACACTAGATGGTGAAAGTGGAAAGCATAGTAAGGGATGCGACAGCTACGGAGAAACTTGTTCATATGGCTTTAGTCACTTTCAGTGGCTTTCTGGGATGTCACCCCTGTGGACTTAAAGGCAGGTATCAACATATCAGACTCTGACATACTGGTACCCGCTACAGGTCCATGTGGCATCACATCCCAGAAGCCCACCTTCAATATCTTCATTGCTGTGACAAGTTCAAATCTCAATCTACTGTAACTGTATATTAACAAGTGCAACTAAATTAGATTTAGAAACACAATATGCACCTTTACTATGTCTTCTACAATACTATAATTATTATTCCACTCATAATGTACAATCTACTAACATCAACTTACTCAGGCTTTCTACTAATGTGAATAAAATATTTGGTAGTGTTATATCTGCATTTGGTACGGTTCTTGCTTTCTCATTTCTAACTCGTACCTGTAATATGTCTGCTCTTCAGTGGATGTCTTGTACTCATCATCTTCAACTTTTGCCTTTTTTATCATCTCTCTTGCTTTGTCTTCATCTGATGCACTTGAGCTGTTTGATGTGTTTGGTTTTGGAGCTGAAAAAAGAATGTTTTTCTTAACTTATGAAATAGATTCCATAAGTTATCATGTGTTGATTACTTCAAGCTCCAGTCATAAAAATGCTTTTTGTATGTTTATTGGGGTTTGCAGTGGCCGCGCGGTATGAGGCGTGGATCTTGTGCCGCTTGGACCGTGGGTTCGAATCCCACTCAAGCCATGGGTGTTTGTCTGCATTTTTCTGTGTTGTGCTGTCCTGTGTACAGGTAGCGGCCTTGCGACGGGCTGATCCCTTGTCCAAGGAGTCCTACCGAATGTCTATAGATCAAGTCAATGAAAAAGTTGGGACCCGCAGTGCTCGGGCACTTGAAGAACGGGTCGTTCCCAGTATGTTTATTACAAACACTATATTAAACATTCATTACACAAGAAAGTTTGATATGATGCTGATGTTGGTCTGCTGGTTGTAATGCTGTGAGGACTTGTAGGTAGATACCTACATTTCAGAGGAACGTGTTGCCTCCACATTCAGCCCATTACTTTCGCATATCACCATCCACAAACAGCTTGGGAAACAAAAATAGCTAGTACAGTCAGTGCAAAATGTTATGAAAAGTGTCACTACTAGTTAGAAATCACTTATTACAATTTTGATGTCAAAAAAATTTTCTCATTTTGTGCAACATCTTCCATACGAGGTGCGATCGGAAAGTTTCAAGACTGTGTCAATAGAGGGCGAACCGGATGTAGTACGAGCTTCTGCCGCTAGGGGGTGCGGCCTACATTCATAGTGAATCAGTGTGCCAGCCTGCATCATCGAATTAGCATTTGTTTCTTAGTTACGGG